TTTTTTACATATATGCCTCCTTACCTATGCATGAAAAGGTGTATTTCACTTTACCTATGAATTATTTGGATGGTGTTAATGTAAAAAATTAAAGTTTAGGGGTTAGATATGTAAATGCATATGAATTGGGTGGTAGGTATGTATGTAAAATTCCCCATTTATTTTGATGTTTCGAATGTCATTCGGCGATCATGATCATTAATGCTCATCCTCTTTTATAGACTCCTTTATCTCTGTTGTTTCCTTGTAAAAATACAAGCTTATCTCTATTTTCTGCTCACTATGAATGAAAATAAAAACTTAAATATCAATTGAAAGTAAAAGGCAAGAAATTTGCAATGCAAAACTCAAAAAGTTGACCGTGAGGGTGACAATGTCATAGATAGTAGTGTGTTGGATGTTTCATATAAATGTTTTTACCATATATATCAAGTGATGATGTGTTACATATTCATACATAATTACTGACATCATAAATGTCGTTATTACGGTTAACAGGTTCTTTTAAGGGGCCCTAAGAATGCTAGGGAAGCTGTGAAACACTTTGGGCCTGCACCTGGTGTTCCGCACAGCCACACGAAACCTTACGTTCGTTCGAAGGGAAGAAAATTCGAAAAGGCTAGGGGCCGAAGAAATAGCCGAGGTTTCCGGGTCTGAGCTTTTTCAACTTCTCCTGCTGCTGAATTTGAAATCAAATATTTCTTGTCTGGTAGTAAAAACACTACGTGCCTTTCTTTTATGCAGTTTTTCAGGTCTTTGTTTCTTTTTGTATTTGTTGGATATTTTGATGAGTTTTTTTTACTTTTTGTTTATGAACGAACTTGTTATTTTTTCGGTTTCGGTTTGGATCTAATCATTCAGATACTTTTTAAATGATTGCCTTGGATTGTTTGTTTTGTTTTGACTGAAGTAAAATTACCCAAAATCATCATTGATCTTTAGGGCCCGTTTGAGGCAGCTACATCTTATTGAATAATTTGTTGATAAGCTAGGTGCAGTGACTATTACAATTTTTAATTTTTTTTTGGAAAAGTCAGACCGCTGTCAGAAAGCTGTCACCGCACATAGATAGATGTGATGTGAAAATGTTGTTTTCGACGTTTGAAAACACATAAGTTGCCAAAACACATTTTACTCAAACATGACAGGTGCGTTTTCAAAATGCCGCCGCACTAAATAAGCTGCCCCAAACGGACCCTTAGTCTTGGTTTCTCACCAATGTCAAAA